GTTGTTGTTGTTGTTGTTGTTGTTATTTTTCTCATTGGCATCGTCCTCGTCCTCGCTGCTGTCGTCGTAGTTCCCGGTGTCTCCCTGGATTGTATTGGTGCCCCCCKGTACAGTTGCTTTTTTGTTCTCTTCTCCCGCTTTGTTTCGCGCGGTTTTCTTGGCTCCCATGGTGACCAGCAAATCGGAGACGGCCGATTCAACTTGGACCGTCGTAACCATTCCCTCCATGCGATGTTGTTGTTGTTGTTGTTATTTTTCTCATTGGCATCGTCCTCGTCCTCGCTGCTGTCGTCGTAGTTCCCGGTGTCTCCCTGGATTGTATTGGTGCCCCCCGGTACAGTTGCTTTTTTGTTCTCTTCTCCCGCTTTGTTTCGCGCGGTTTTCTTGGCTCCCATGGTGACCAGCAAATCGGAGACGGCCGATTCAACTTGGACCGTCGTAACCATTCCCTCCATGCGACGGTTCAGAAGCCGTAGGAGRTTTTCCATCTGCAGGTTCACCGCTTGGGGTGCATCGGCATTCGCATTCGCATTCAYGTCTGCATCGGCACTCTGCTCGCCGTTCGCTGTTGTGGCTGCCGCTTTTGGCTTGCCCGGAAGGCTTCCAGTCATGGTGTGAGGCTTGTATGTAAGGGCGAGAACTCTCCGGTAGTTAGAAGTTCGTTTGTGTTGCTGATGACCATCCAAATGGCGTTCGTTAACAACCATCTCAATGGATCTTCGATCGAGATTTTTTCGAGAGATAATTCCTGCGGGGTGACACAGACGCGGGAATGCCGCAGCATGTGGACGGAGGCAACAATATTGAGGGGCCGTACGGTACGCTAAGAATCCCCTTTTGGAATTTATCTCCCCCGAAACAAATGATGTATTTTGGTATTTCTACCCCCTCAGACTCCCTATTTCCATTGACTATTTCAGTTAAAATAACTATACTGATCTGTATATAGTAGTACTTCGATTCGTGTAGTATATAGTATATATAGTATACTGTCTGATACTCGTACTCTCGTGTAGTACTAGTAATAGTACTGGTAGTACTATATAGTTAAATCATCAAGAAACTCTAACCAGATTGGGTCATCTTTAAACCTATTATGGTGTGTTTTGACTTCAAGMAATTTGTTGTTGTTCTTTTTTCTCTACAAAGATAGACATCTTTTTTTGACAACATAGTAGAGTCTCCTCCTCCCGCCATGGGAGGATTGAGTTGATTCTTCTTGAAGTCACCTGCAAAGACAATTGGTAGATTGCCATAAAAATGATGATGTGATGGCTTGTCACACAATCATTTCAGATACTCATTCAATGTTTCAATTTGTTTGATGCTAGCAAATGATATCTTGTCAACAATGACGAGTAGAAAAGTCTTATTTTCCCATGCATCATCCAGTAAATTTGAAGTTTGCAAGATCAGTCTCATGGGTGATAACATCAAAACTTTTGTGTACTAGAGTTTGATACAAAACACTTCTTGGAAGCTCATTTGGTTCTTTTTTAGTCAAGATTTTGGATGTCTTCTGCAGACAAAACCAAGTCACCTAAACTTGAGTTCTGGTGAAGAACAATTGTATTTGAATCTGGTGTGACTGTGGGTGTTTTCAGCATTGTTCTTCTCAATTTGTAGCTTATTCTTGAATCTCTCTGTGAACTGACAAATCTGACATGGACCATATATCATATCCATATTGTCAACAAAATTTGCCTGAAGTTCATGAAACAAACTAAGATTGCCATTTTCTTCATTAGTTTGACAGCAGTTCCCTCTTTTGAAAGGTTTTGTGTAACTTGTTCAATAGCATCTTTTGGACTATGCAAATTAAATCTGCTCAAGCAATCTTGGGCATTCTTCAGAAGTTTTTGATGACTCAGTTTCAATTTCCCATTTTTTAGAATATCCCTGAATTTTGGTATTTATTTTTAATCTGTCTGGAGTTCTTCTTTTGCTGTTGTGGCATATTTTTGCGTTGCCGACGAGGGGTGATCTGCTAGATGCTTAATGTTACCAACAATGGAGATGCCTCCCAAGCTTTCACTGTATGGAAACTTTAAAAAATTCCAATGGAATTAATGGTTTCTCACATTTGGAAATTTTTAAGTGATTTTTTTTGTGGGGTTTGGAGTTGATCAATTCATTGTATATTTTTCTTCTTTGATTTGATATTTTTTGCTGATACGAAGCTTGAGAAAGAATCATAAACAGATGCACAAATAATTTGCCACATGAGATTTGAGAAATGTTGTGTGTTTGTTTTGAACTGTATTGGAATCCAAAACAAATTCCTCAATTGTCTTCTTTCTTTCTTTTTTCTTTCTCTACACTAAAAACAAGTTTCTTTCTGTTTTTTTGGTAAGCCCAGGGCTGTGAGAATTCTTCAAGGTTACTGGCTACCGTGCACTAAAGATAGTGGTAGTCCAGTGCGCCGTAGCCAATAGCCAATTAATATCAAACAAGCACTTACGATCGTATTTGTAATGGAAAAGAATTGCAGCCTAGCTAGTACCTAACTATTACATATAGGACTAGAAATACGGGTCAGAGATCTTTTTGTACTAAGCATTTTTCTGTTCTTCTGATATAGTTGTTCTAGTCCATGAGAGGTTGGCAAAATGATGRCTCTTGTACTTCTTCTCGTGCTACTCCTAGAAAGGATACAAATGCCCAAAATCAAACCAACAACGGGAGCTCGGCAGGGGTGACCGGCGTTTGCTCTCAACGAAAGCGGTCCAAGTCGACGCTCGGAACGGCACCAGGCTCGGTGCAGTTCTTGGTGCACTGGCCCTGGAAGGGCTCTTGCACCAGATCGGTGCTGACGTTGACGACGCAGGGGCACTCGGAACGGAAAAAGTCGGTCTGGGCCTCCGTCACGCACGGCTTGGCCAAAATCTCGAGTCCGCCGCCCGGGGAAAAGTCGTTCAGGAAGTAGGAGGGCCACGAGGCGCCGGCCACGAGGTCCGTGCACGTGTAGGTTCCGGGGTCGCAGCAAAAACAGCAGTCGCACTCGATGGAACCGCCGCCGGGCGCCGCAGGATCGGCATCGCAGTCTGCCAGCGTAGCCCCGACCCCGTCCTTTCTCGAACCGGAGGTGGCGTTGCAGTACTGGTTGAGGGATCCGACCAAGCGATCGTTGTTGTTGACGACATACAACGAGAGGAGCCGTGTAGTGTCCGGCAGTGAGCCTGTCAGGCAGTTGTCGTTCAACCAGAGAGAATCTAATTTTAGCAGCTGGCTAAAGCTGGTGGGGATGGATCCGGATATAGAACCTCCACCAAGATTAAGCTCTTCCAGCGAGTCGGAAAAGAAGGATAATTCGTGAGGAATCGTTCCAGACATCCTGTTCCAATCTGCAAGAGGTTATGCGCGAGAATGACAAGATCGAATCGATTCCGATAAACTGTGAGGAAGCTGTAGTTGGTTTGAAAATCACCTCCTCCATCCAAAGCGCAACTGCAGGACGAGATCATCGTGTTCGTTGGGGAAGGAGCGAACCATCTTCACTGTTCCCACAAGTGATGTTAAAAAAGTTCTTCCGACTTACACGATTTGATAATGGACACCTTGCCATCGGCGTTGCAAACAACACCCCTCACATCCGTGTCGCTTTCACGAAACACGCCTTCTTCTTCTTGTCGTCGAATCGTGTTCCAATCGCAGGCATCGCTTCCCGAAAGAAAATTAAACCTGTCGTTCCAGCCGTCTCCGGTCAGGGCAAAATAGAGGAGGGCCAAAACATAGCGCTGCCGGAGGTCGTACACCCGATCCGTTTCGTTGGCACCCGGAACCGGGATCCGAGCCGGATCGGTTTCGACGAGCCATTCCAGGGCGGCGATCCGATCGGCCGAGGCCCCGGGACCGGCTGGGTCGAAGGCCTCTGCTCCGCTCAGCGGGGAAACGATCTCGAGGATGGAGTTCCGGCGGAAGGCGACAACTTCATGATCCGATTTCGGTGCCTCCTCCTGTCGTTCGCTTTGCTCGCTTTTATTGTTTCGCTGAAATGCTACTACGCCAATAATGATCCCGGTGATCAGCAACAAAACAATCGCGGCAACACAATACTTCCACCACGTTCCCCACGCCGAAGACTTTGTTCGTTGCTTCTCCTGTTGCTCCTCCTCGTCGAAATCAACGGCCGTTGCTACAAAGATCCGCTCGGTCCGAACCGCAACCGGAGTAACAACTGCTTGATCGCTTGCTACTGCCGAAGCCAGTGGCAAGACCGATGGCGTTGAATCGGTAGACGATCGTTCGTTGTCGGAGCGAAAGAGTGGATTGTTGACGGCAAACGCCCCGGGTTGGTTTGTCGCATTTCCGGAGTTCGTTGATTGAATGGATTTGTGTGTTTTATCTTCAATTACCGGCTCGTTTACGGGTTTCGTACTCGACACAGATTCTGTGTCTTCTTTTTCTTTGTCTAGATCTGCCGCCGTATCTCTTTCTTTTTCCACGACCTTCTTTTCGTCGTCGGGAATTCCGATGGGATCGCCCTTCTTTTCCATGCTGGTGTTGGTTGGCAATACAATTCCTTTTATCAATTTTTTTCTGGAAGATGACCGGTTTGCGGGCAACGGAATAAAAAACGATGTGGGGAATCCTGTTTTATAATWTCTTTCTGTGCCATACGTTCGTGTTCGCCCTGTTGATACAGAATCTTCTGAAAATACTAGTATTTTCGTACTTTATGTTTAGTGTTCCATTCTACTGGTTCGATGTACTAAATTAATATATGTATTTATGCCTATCGATTTCAACAGGTTCTGGTACGTAGCTCTACACGTTTAGAGCTACTAAATACGCTAGACGTTATTGCGCTTAACATTAGGAGCTCTAGTTCTGGTACCGTACGCGTTGAGTATGAATTGAAAGTAAAGTTGGAACCGTAGACCTCTTTAGAAATTAGTACGAGTGAAGGTTCAAAATAAGGCTTTACTGTGAGGCCTAAAACACACTAAATCATAAGCAATCACGAGTAGAGAGTGAGTGGGCAAGAATTCCCCTCACTCTTAATTGTAAACACGTAGTTATATGACACTAAAGAGCAAACGTACATTTCGCAGGTTATGAGCAACAAGGAACATACCTCCATTTTTTGAATCGTACAATATCTACAGGGTTCTGCACATTGAACAGTAGCTTCAATTCGAACCGGCATACGGTTGGAAACCTGACACCTACCTTGCGGGTACAAACTGTACATATCCATTCCAAAAATCAGATTTTGAAATACAAGCTTACTACTGGGCGCTCAGTAATGCGCTGAATACCTACTACAGTACTAACAAATGTAAGGAACGATAGAACAACACTGGTCTTCTGAGGACCATTGGTTCTTGAATCTTAATAAAAAATTGAACAGGTGACAACTTGCTATGATGAGGTTGATTCAATGAAGGAGCTGGAAAGAGTGCAATGCTAATCGAGTGTACGCCAAATTTCAGAATCCTTTTGTATGCTGAGAAAAAATTCGCACGACCGCAAAATCAGCGATCTCAAYGATGTTGCTGCGTGGTGTGTTTTATGCTATTCTTTTCTTGAAGCTTAAATTTTTGTGCTCCTTCTTTCATTCCAGCATTGGATTCCCCTCGTCGTCCGTGAGGACGCCTTCCTTCAATCCCCAAACCCGCTCGATCTCGTATATCTCTTTCGACACGCGGTGGATAGTGTTCCCCATTCCCTTGGATTCAAGGTAGTCCTCGATGTTGGGCGTTTCCTTGAGGGTTGGATCTAGATTGTCTGCAATCCAGTGCTTGTTGTTGCATCCCTTGCAGACGGCAACGACCATGCCCTCCCGGTAGGCCTGTCTCGATACCAGCACCCGGTTCTTGGTTTCGCAGATGTTGCAGGTGTACTGGAGGGAAAACTTCGGGTTGACAAAGGTTGCGACCGTGTTGTTTTTGTGGGATTCTGGCATCGTTGCGGGGTCGATATGCGCGGAACGGTCCGAGCAACGGGACCCCGTATCGTTCTGTCCCCCGTCGTCTCGGGTTGTTCCGGCTGGACCGAGTGCGGGGAGGCCGGCTCCCGGCCCGTCCTCGCCGTCTGCTGGATTGCGTCCAGAGAACAACCGCATCGGGGTTGCAGATGAACCTGGTGCAACCGCCTTGTTGTCGGGATCGTGCAAGTTATTGGGATGGCGGCCGTTGTTGCCGTGTCGACGCGTCGGAGCGGCTCTCGAAGCCGTCGACGAAAACGCCCGACAAAAGAGAACGGTATTGCTGTTCATGTTGCCATTGCTTGCTGCTTCGTTGATATGCCTCATCGACAGGAGATTTATTCCTATTAAGACAAACAGGAACAGCTGCAGCCTCCGTTGTCTTTGTTGCACTTGATCCATTCTTTGGATGGTGAAAGACGTCGTCTTGGGTTTGTCTTTCGGATCGATCGTTTCTTTCATTAATGATACTATAGCAGTATTGTATTGCTGTGTTTATTTGGTTGATTCGATACGATTGCGTTCTGTCGTTTCTTTTGATTTCGGTCGATCTTCGTCTGTTGTTTGTGTTTCCTCTATGTTGAACCAATCAAGTTGTATCATACCTGAAGCTGTCGAAAAGAATTCATGAGACGATCCAAAAAATTAAAAATTCTGTTTGTTCATTCTGATCGGCGATTTGGATGTTTTTGGCACTTGTTCCATTGCGGAAGGCAGCGCACGTACGAGTATCCTACGTAAGAAGTAGTTCTACTCCCTCTCGAATTTAATTTAACTGTACGATTCCTCGTTCGATCGTAACAGTGACATCGATCTTCCATCATTTTCTTTTTTTCGGAGCACGTTTCGATTATGTTCGACCAGTTCGACTTTTTTCGGCAGAAAGGAACCAACAACGTCTGGACTTCGTCCGATTCGACTGTGTTCATTGAGAGCCTCTGAGAGGCAACACGCGGCGAGMAAGCTTGCATCCATTGCGGTATGAGCAACTACCAGTAGTAAATGCAGTAATCGTAACAGCATACAGCACCGTAGACTTTACGCAGCGTAACGTACCGTACTCGTAGGCTACCGCCAGAGAGGAAACGAAACAAAGACTCTCCTCCTCCACTCTGCAGTGCATCTCGATTGTCGTGATTAGCTTCTGGTAAGAAGCAATCGGAAAACCAAACGCGAGGCTTGCAAGCGAGAAAGAAGCAACCAACCAGCACCATGGCGGAAGATCCAGAAGAGGCCGACGTCGCGGCCATGCTCGACCTTTCCAAGAAGAAGAAAAAGAAAAAAAAGAAAAAGTCGGAGAAGGAAGCCAGCTCGGCCTCCGGAAGCGGGGGCGCCGGCGGGGCCGATATGAGCGCCCAGGAAGCCCTCCTGAGAGAACAGGACGAGGCCCAGGACTGCGTCGAAGATCCCTACGATCGCAAGGGACAGTATGTCTACGGCGAGCTCCTCGACCTCGTTGTGGACCTGCTCCAGACCAACAATCCTGCCCTGGTGGAGAAGAAGAAACGCAACATCAAGCCGCCGCAGATGACCATGCTCACCTCCAAGAAGACGATGTGGGTCAACTTCCAGGAAATTTGCAGCATGATGCAGCGCAGCCCCGAGCACGTCATGGCCTTTTTCTTTGCCGAGCTCGGAACCGACGGAAACATGGACGGAAACCAGCGTCTGATCATCCGCGGAAAGTACGTCCCGAAGTACATCGAGTCCTTGCTTCGAAAGTACGTCGTGGAGTATGTTACGTGCGAGATGTGCCGATCCCCCAACACCGTGTTAAAGAAGGATTCGTCCACCCGTTTGCACTTTTTGGAGTGCTCCGATTGTGGATCCACCCGTTCCGTGGCGCAGATCCGTAGCGGGTACCACGCTACATCCCGTGCCGATCGTCGCGCGGCCAGAAATGCAAAGGGTTAAGCGGTGCCCGGACGAAATTGGTTCCCTTGGTGTGAGTTGTGTGGTGACTGTCTTGTGGAGGAGCATTGCGATAGCATCATCTGGAAGGTAAAAATTAACGCAAACTATACTGCAGCGAATCGGTAATAAAATAAATTAAAAGTACTATTTTGAGGCAAGAGTTGGAGTAGTTCTTAAGCAGCAGGGATWCATTTGAACACGTTATCGTGGTTGATTCGTCGTCCGCCTTCTTTGCTCTCTTCGAAGAGGAGCTGATGCTCGAATCAGGACATGCAATACTATCTTCCTTGGCTAGCTGGAATTCAATTGGTTCTCTAGCTAGCCAATGGTGTTGGCATAGCAAAGGCAATTCGTGTTCGCGCTCCAACGCTCCAATGCCGAAGAAAAGTCTCCCTGAAAAGCAAAAGGTAACTCTAGAATATGACCAAAGTGTAAAATTCTAGTACCATTTAACTGCTAGAACTACCTTTCTCGCAATTGCATCGCATCTCAGATACACCCGAATTAATTGCCGATTTATTCGATTTTCTATTTTTCATTGCTACATTTATTGGCAGTAACCGCAATAGAACATGCTATGATGATTCATTTGAGTGCAGGAATGTTGTTCGCAATAGTAGTATATCATTATCATTTACTACTACAATTTGGTTTTTTGTTCTTATAGTTGTGTTGTCTTACATTTTATTGTTTGTATGTAGTTATACCCCGCCCAAACGAATCGCATCTTTCTCACATTTGCACTGCACTGCATTGTGTTTTGTGTTGTATTGTATTATTTCGGATCGGAGGAGGACCGATTCACCATAATCGAGACCCATTGCGTTTTCTTCCTAGAAAACAGAAAGGAAATATAGCCAATAGGCAAGTATGGTTCTAAATGCAATCTCCCTTCCGCTCCGTTCCAATCCAAGCATATGCATTCATTTATTTCCTTTTTGCCATTTTCTCAAAACTCTGTCCTTGCCCATTCTCATTCCGCCATGGCCTGGACGTTGCTGCCATTGGTGTTGCCTGTGGTGGTGTGATGATTTCCAAAATATGAGTGGCTCATGTTGGATTCTTCCGGCATGGAGACAACACCATCCCCGGCTTGTTCTCCGGTTTCCGAATCCACGCTCAGTTCTTCCTCCTCCATGATATCCTCATCCTCCATGATTTCTTCCTCTTCTCGCATCATGCTCGTGTCCACGGCCGGGGCATTGCTCGAGTTGCCGCCGTGGGCGAATTCATCGTCCTCTTTGCTTGGGATGCTCGGCGTGACCATCGCGGGTGGTGGAAGCATCGCCGCACTCCCCGTGGTTGCGGTGGGTGTTCCGCTCGCGGCATGATCTGCCATCATGGCGGCCCCCACGGAAGATCCGGCAGCGGTAGCCATCKTGCCGTTATTGGCATCGATGCCGGGGCTGTTGTTGTTGTTGTTCGTTCGCTGCTGCTGTTGCGGCAGTGGCTCGTCTCCCCACGAAATCGGAAATTTCGTCACCCGGGGTTTGTCGGCCAGAATTTGTCGCTGGATGCGGTCCAGCGGAACCGGGTTGGGAATTGGTGGAGGCAGCTGCTGCTCTCCGTCGTTCTCCGATGCCTGTGCGCTGGAAGCGGCCGCGTTCGGATCGTGGTATTCGTTGTTAACGTAGTAGCCGACGCGGACAAACTCCCGTTCCTTATAGGAACACGTCACCAGGACAACCGTCACACCTAGCAAGTCGTCCTGTGCGAGCTGGGACGGATCGGGAGCGTCCGCCTGCAAAACAAACTTGTTGACGCCTACAGGGACGGGCCCCACCAGAATCTCGTCCAGGATCTGGTCCTTCGCCGCGTCCTGGGCGCTTCCCACGTATAGGACCTTCCATTCGAGATCATCGTCGAGTTCCTGAAGGCACTCAAAGGTAATCTCAAACTGGAAGGGACTCGTGAAGCAGGTGGGGTTGTCAAGGACCACCTATGTTGTGTTGTGTTGTGTTGTGTTGTGTTGTGTTTTATTTTGTTTAATTTGTGTTGGTGTTTTCGTTTATTTGTTTGTGATTACAAATGTGGGAGATATCAGAGATCAAAAGCCATACAGGCGTTGCGTTGTGCACAAAAAGGCGAAGCGTTGTGGAGAGTGTTAGTCAACGCACCAAACACGGCAACCGGGAAATATTTTGGATGCGATGCGATGCGATGCGATGCGTGCAATACTCAAACCAATGCGATGCAATCTCTCGTTCAGAGTATCGTCCTGCTTGCGGATTTCCCATTCGCTGTCCCGTCAGCAAAAAACTGAAATAGACGAAGCAGTAATGAAAACTTACCATATTGACTACGTTGACGAGCGCCATTGTTGCGGCTTACAAAAGATTGGATATGAATAGAAAACAGGATATTGAATTGGTGAATCGATTCGAATATTTGCGTATCGTTCCGTCTATTGATATGCTCTATCTAGCCCTTCGTGTTACGGTTGTAGATTTCGCAGCCTAGTTCCGAAATGTGTGGAATCACTTCTATTGATGGTGCTGGTTTTGTTGCAGCTGTTGATTGGTGGTGTTCAATAGTACCTAATGGTTGTTTGGATTGTGCGCTCTTGTCATTGTAGGAATGTGCCGAATGAATAAAATCGATACGTACCGTACAACATACTGAGAACGGTGTGACTACGGTAAGTACCGTGCTCGGACGAGAACAGTAGTTTGATTTCTCTACGATGATGCAGTACGAGTACTAGTTTTGAACGGTACGTCASTGTACGGTAGAGTACCGTGCATGGCATTTTGTCCCGCAGAGTGTGCATTAGACCACTGCGTTCAAAAATTTCTTGGCGCGCGAATATTCCCACCATGATASGATAGATAGTACCGGTCGTACAGTAATTCTACTGACTCTACGTTCTACGAGCTCGCACGTACCAGTAGGTACGCTTGTAACAACGACCAGATCCTTCTTTGTTCTCATACCATACGGTACGTACCTATAATAATAATGTACAGTAATGCGGTAGGCATTAGGCATTAGGGATACCAGTATGTTTCGTGTTTCGCACTTCGTACCAAAATACAGGTGCTTTTCCTTCTGCTGTGCAATAACAAMTACTAGTACTGCAACATCTATTAGCAATAAAATGAAGACTCACAATTGCACAGATGTTTCTTCAATACTAACTCTCGCCGTCACTAMTAGCTTTCATTGATTTTTAGTTGTGCTGGCTAAAATTATGATCAAAGATTTCGAAGCCCATACARGGAGACATGAAATGTACTAATTCCGGGTGCGTCAAATAGCAAAAGTATGGTAATCAACCATAGGGGAGGATACCAAACCTTTCAAGCCTTCGATCCTGCACACAACGACACTTTCTATCCCCGTTTTCGATCTCACTTTGTGCTACTCAATTGTTTTTCTTGCGGTTGATGTTGTAGTTGCAATCGGTTGTAACATAGGTGCTGGAAGGTCTACTATGATGGATTGCACTCCAACCATAGGGTCATGTTTGCATCTGCTTTTTTGATACTCTTGTCTCGGAGATTGGTTGTTTTGTTACGGTATTGAATTCGATGGCCTGCGGGTTAGAACATCGCAGTATTGTTCGTTGTCATGACACTCTGATCATGATATTATCGTCTTGGACTGGGAAAGAAACTATCTTCCAGTGACAGCGCAGGCCGATTCAATGACCGCCTTGCGAACTAACAAAAATGGTAACGAACTAAATTGTAGGCTACCAGAGTTTGTGCTTGACAATTGAATTTATTATGAATTCGTACGTCTATATTGCCGTGCGTCTTCGTTCGTGTACTTGTGTGTACTTGTATATGGTTGTGACCGAAATCAATCGCAATAGCAATTAATTGCGGGGGAATGCTGCGAAGATGCCACCACCCGACAATCTATTCAAAGTGTAGGGAGATCATAGTTATGGGTATTTTGCTCTAAATCTATTCCCTTCGGACTCGGTGATTACCGAGAGACCGAAGGAATGATTTGCTAATCGACCGATCGATCGACCGAATGAATGAAAGCGTCAAACACAAGGACGAATCGAACCATCAATTCTGAAGCTCTACCAACCGTTCTATGAGCTCTTCGTCGTGTGACGAATAGGATTGGGTAACACCCATGGGGGGAAGGTATCCCTTGGTGCGTCGTTCTTTCGCCAACAGCTGCTTTCGCTGGTGGATCCTCTCCTCGTCATTCTTGCTGGAACTTCCAGGAAAGGCGGTGAAACGTTCCGGCTGCGCATATCTGTTGACGCCTCCGGTGCTTGCACCGCCCGACGAAAAGTAAATTCCCTTGCCGCTGCTATCCGTCATCCGGTCGATTTCTTCGACCGCGTTTTCCTGGATGTGTGCCATGAGGGAATTGAAAAAGCCCATGCCTGAAACAGAAGCCGCCTTTGCGAGGAACAAGGCGGTAGCAAGCAGGAGTGATGGAGCACTAAAGAGATGGGATTTCATCGTGGAGGTGTGTTATGTCTGATGTGTAACTGTTTTATGTCGATTCGAGAGGAGTCTGAATATCTTGTTGTTGTTTGTGGCACAATAGATACAGCAAGTCATTCTCAAACGGCTAGCAGACGTGAGAGAACATCTATCATCCGCCGCTACCGAAAAAGGCAGACGCGAAGCCTGCAGTTCACAGGCAAGCGCAGAGACACAAAACAGTTGTTGTTTTAACGAATTCTTCTTGGTTGCACTACCAACCCCGCATTGGTTAACGGTACGACTCGTACAGTACGGAATCGTACGTAATTTATGATTTTTTACGAAAGGAGGCATGTTCGTTTTCTTTCGTGACATTTTGACAGTCCATCGCCGTCATAAGTAAAGGTGTCAAGAAAAGACAACAAACCGTTGAAGAAGAAGAACCTTAATCCCTTCATTTAAATTCCCTCTCTGTTTTGAACTGCATGCTCATTCGTACATTCAATAACTACATATGACTCATACCTACCAAGCTATACCTAGAACTATCGTACATCGCACCGTACGAGGTACGGTACAGTACGAACTTACCGTACGTCGAAAATGACATGTTGGAGTTGTCTGTCACTTAAAATGCTCCCGAAAACGAAGAAAGAAACCGATTTGAAATTTGAAAATGGTCCCTCAGTTTGTTGTGACCAACCCAAAAAGTAAGAAGTCTAGCAGCAATTTCCATGGAGTCACCCGATCGCTCTGCCGATACTCGCACGATCCACAAAACACTCCTATCGTGTCGACAATGATCGGAGGCACATCGAAAAATTGTTTTGACTCACTTGGCGGATTGACACCCATACCCTGTCTCCGCTGTGCTACTTACAGTAGTATTCTACGACACTCCTAACGGAGATGGCGAACATGCTCGATGTTGCGCGATATCAAATCCAAAAGAGAACAGCGCAATTCGTGATATAAATCTGAATTTACAGGCTGCGAGGAACTTTCGTCGGAGCAGAGCAAAGGAAACGTGAAAAGGAGTAGAGCGAATCGAATCGAAATTGATGTTTGGATCAAACCATTAGAAAGCAAAACTACGAATGGCACACATGTCGGCAGCAGCGTGTTTTCTTTCCACTCCAACCCTCGTGGAGGAAATGTGACGCAACTTTTTGCAGACCCACGGAATGCAAACGATTTACTGCACGACGACTCCAGAGAAAGGAGCAAACGTCCACTACAAGCGGATTCGAGCACGAGTAACACGGTGCAGTGTGGTTGAGTTCGGTATGGTACAATATAGTGCATTACCTTATCGTGCATTGGAATTCGCATTTTTTTAAGGTTGAGAAACGCGAAGTTCTCGTCTATTGATTCCTATGAGCAACTTTCCCATCGATATCGACCGCAACGGATTCTTTGCCTGCTCCCCCATCCGTAGTAAGAGGAGCAGTATGAAACCTATGCGTCTATCAACAGTAGCTTTATCGGCAATGCCGATGCCCATCCCAGTAACTCCCGAACATCGCGAATCCTCTCAAGATACTTTTCCTAGTCGCACTCCAGGAAGTGATAGCAACGTAACCGCCGGAAAACTCGACGGAAATAGTGACCATAGCGACGACAACACATCTGATGCAGCTACCCCTCTAGATACAACATCGGCGATGGGTCGGTCCATTTCTTCGCACAATCGACGGGAGCAGCCGATGCAACACGAGCAAACCATTAACGAAGCAGCAGAAACTGCTGCTCAGAAGACCAGCATCCAAACAAGTGATACTCTTACTACTCCACCGAGCAGTCGCTGGGTCGGCGTCCGCGCCATGCTCGAAAACGAACCCTGCCTCGCGACCCAAAAAGGACTTTTCTTGGCACTCAAACATCACGCACCTATTCAGGTTGTTCAGTTTTTGCTTACTATCAATCCGAATGTCATGGACATTGCCAAGACCKGTCCGACTCCTCTCCAGGTGGCTTTGTACCACGAGGCTTCCTTGGACGTCATTGCCCTCTTGTTGGAGGCATCGCCCTTTGGCCTTTGTGTCACCAACAGCGACTGCCCGGAGGACCCCCTATCGTATGCAAAGCGAAGATATGGCGAGGATTACAACAAATATGGTCTCGATAGCGATGTGGAAGACAAAGATTGTCAGCAGCATATGCATCGCCCTGGTCTCATTGAGCTTTTAAGTCGCCCTCTGAGCTACTGGATCAAGGAGAGAAAAGGGAAACGCGACCGTCAAGCAAAAAAGAATCAGTACATACAACGAATATACCACTACCGTCGGCAACAGCAGCAAAACAAAGGAAGCTGGAAACACGATTTACAACAACTCAACGATACGATTCCTTCGCATATATCTCCTCCTGCTCTGCAGTTGAAACATAACAGGAATGTGATTCCTTCGCGTATCTCTCCTCCTCCCCTTCGTTTCTCGCATCGCTTGAGAACGTCAGTCGCCGATTGTATCACCGAGAGTGTCAACAATAACATCTGTGACGGAAGCAGCCCATTCTCTTCTGCTGCTCTAAAGCAGCCTTCTCCGCCGCCGCCGCCACTTCCGAAGAAAGGCACAGATACATTTTTTTCGAACAAGGATCGTGACAATAAGAATCATGCTACACAGCAGCAGAAAACGCATACTCCTAAAGCAAGCATCATCGCCACCTCAGTTGATCGTGAAGAATTCAACAACATTAAGAAAATATGTGCCCGACTCGTCAAGGCACACAAAAACATTTCTAACCAAATCATTGCGACCAGGGGAAACATTGATGCTCAGAGTGAATTGCTGGCGACCATGYGTACAAAGGAAGAGATTCTAGAGGAGCTCTTGCAACAACAACGGTCTCAATTTATCCGAAATCTTATTGCCCTAGATATGAAAGAAAAAAACTTTCAAAGCCGGCTAGACCAGATGGAAAAACGCTACATTATGCAACTCGAAACACGGCTCGATCGTTGCATGTCGAGTACAAGGGTGTGGAACGAATCGACCCGTGAACGCTTGCTGGATCTCCAGTCAGATGTAGAGGCCGAGGCCAAGATCAACGATTCATTTCGGAACGGCATGAGTGACTGGGTGGAACGATGGCACTATGAAAACCAGGAGAATAAGAACAATAGGAACGTTCCTTCCTCCACGTGCATTTCCTCTTACGTCTTTGCCACCAATCTTGGTGAAACGGACGAGACGGCCCCGTTGTGTGATGAGTTTCGCCGTGGAGGCAGAATCTTTTGTCGCAGTGATGGTAATGGCACTATGGATAGTGGTGCTGCAATGGTAATGGAGAGCAATGTCAATGATGACTTGGATATAAGCACGGATCCAATCATTGGGACGAACGACAATCGTCATCGCCAGTGTACATTATTGTCGTGGAAGCGACCCTGGATACCCTTCAAAAACAGGGACCGAATCCAGATGGTGGATAGCGAATCCCAACGAGGTATCTGAACAATACCGAGAGCCGACGATATTTCACTTGAAGGACTTTTTTAACTGGATCCGAAAGACTCCAAAGTATAGCAGAAATTTGCCTATATCCTAAATGATTCTATCGTTAAGTCCCATGGCGGCGAAGAGAATGACATGSTAGTATTTTTTTTTGCGTGGGATGTCTCTAAACGGAACTTGTGTATCTGATTGATAAACTAAATTGAACTACAGCATTTTAGCATTCATAAGAAAAATTATAATCCAAGCGTTTTCTCTCACTTGTCCAGAGGAGTTGGGGGGAGTTGTCGAAGAAAATCATGAAGTGCACTGCATTTTCCTGGCTGGATCCCATTTTTACTATAACTGCCGTCCCAGCAGAAGCAATTCCTTCAACTGATGATAAAGGCACGATGTGTTGTTCTACTATTGCTAATCGAGTTGTGCTATCGGTAAATCTAATTTCTTAAGTCGTAATTTCCTACGAAAAGGAGTGAGGATTAATGCTATCTCCCAGAACTATTTGGAGGCAATTTTATCCAATTCGGCCAACAAAAAGTCGCTTGCCATGATCGTTGCACTTGTTTCAGGACCGGAGAGTTTTGTGGCCGTGCTTCCCTCGTCTTTGCCAAGTCGTTTCCCCAAGGCCTGCTTGATGACGTTTACCAGATTGCCCTGGTCGACCTGGGTGCTGTCGACCTTGTTGACGGCCGGCGTTGCATCGTTTTGGAACGAGGTGTCTTCCTGCTTGATCACACCTGTTTGTTGGAAATCCTGGGCTACTCTGAGGGCCTCCATTTCTCGGCGGTCGACCTTCACGTCGGCAATTTCGCCCCAGTCCCGCAAGCGAAGCATGGTTTCTAGTTTTTGAACTCCGATTTTGGAGAGCGTGCTTTCGTTTTGCTTGTACACGAGGCCTGTGGGGATGCCCTTCTGGGCCGCTCGAACCTGATTTGTTCGCAAAATATTGATCATCGGCCAGGGCGATCTCCTAGCATAGTTGGCGGCGGCTCCCTCTCCGCCTCGTTCTCCTCCGTCGCGGAAGGTCCAGTGGGGATGGAAAAAGACCAGCTGGATGGATTCTTCGATTCCGAGCGCCGACAGTGGCTGGGTCAGTGTCGTCGACCAGGTTTCGAAGAGCTCGACGTTGTCCATGCAAAATTCGGGCGTAATCAGCAGCGTCGTCGACAGGTCGCTCTCAGGTTGCTGTTCGACTCGTACAACTTCTTCCCAATAAACTGCGTACATATCTTCAAAGGAGCTGGACCTATCGGTTGTGTAATAGACGGGACCCATCGGTAATCCGGCCATGTTTGCCCCGCTGGTAAAGGGACACACACCCATGTCGCTGCAAATCTTGGCTACCCAGTCCTTGGAGAGCTGTTCTATTTCTTCGTCTTTGTCGGGCACTTTGTTGACGATGTCKGGGTACTCCACTTTTTCTTCCGAGCCGCCCTCTTCTTTCTCATACTCAGCATCGATACCCTCGTAATCCCAATCGTCTGCATCGTCCCAAAGTGGGTCGTACTCGAATTCAAAATTGTCGGGATCTACGTTCGGATTTCGGAAGGACTTGACCGTAAATCCTACTACCTTTCCGTCTTCCACAAATGGTACAAGTGTCGTCGAGATGCCGAAAAAATCGCATACATCTTTGCAAGAATCCAGGTGGGCCGTGACGAGATTCAAAAAACGCGGTTGTGCCATTTGCTCTACCATATCGGGGAACAAAGTGGTTTCGGATTCCTTTCCCATTAAACAGAATTGTAAAAGCAAATGTAAGTATAGATTGCGGGATCAAATTGTTCAATTGCAACGCCAAAGAGCGATGGTTTGGCCGTCATATTTCGAAACAGTTTKCACCGATAGTCATCGGGATAGGAGTTCCAATTTAAACATTTCGAAACGAAGATAAGAACATGAGTATGGAGAACATCGCAACCGAAGACCTCAACGATAATTTTTAAAAATGAAGAAGAAACGTACCCCTCGAACCAATTTGTTTCCTTTCGCGATCAATCTCCACAATCCAGCCAAAAACTGGGAAGTCGTTTTCGCCGGATCCGATGGAATCGCAGCAGTCTCTGTGTTGTCAGCGGCAGATGCAGAAAACAACGCAACATTGTTTTGCATCCTGGGAGTGACGATATTATTGCTGCCGGCTCCTATTCTACCAACGTAGTTTTTTTGTGTAGAAACGCATGGTGGTGCAGAAGAAAAACCAAGTGCTGGTTCGAGTAATGCGAACAATAGTACCGATGACAGGCAAACGGCAACGACCGTTGTTGCTGGAGTATTCATAGCGATTGTTTTCTTCTTCTTAGAGTTGATCAAAAGGGAGGTACGCAGGTGCTGGATCCTTTGAAAGAATGTTATTGCGTGATGCTTAGTGGCCTTATGATATTGAATAGTAGTGATCTCTTTATTCTCACTTGTCGCAGATGTCGGCCCACTGCTTAATTGTATTCTCCAGGCGGACGAAAGGACGAATCAATCAATGCTAGTTTTTCAATACTCGTAGTTCATACGAGTATTCGTACTCGTTCCCTTACGAACCGTACCGTATGATGGTTGATAGTTGATGTGATGCGGTTCTCGTCATGAGATGGCAGGCTAGTTGGAAGTATTTTTCAGAAAGCAAAGAAGAGRACGTTGAATGAACGTCAGTGCGTCACTTAAAAGAAAACTTTATCAGTACAATTCAAGATTTCCTTCTCAAAATGGGTCCCGAGTACCACATTTACCTTATCCTTAGTAAAGGAAGACGTCAGTATTATTACCATGTACTACTTGTACTGTACTCAAAATCCCGTCCGTCCGTCATCAGATTTACATCGATCCCCTTAATATTCCTCAACCGCACRCTTACTTYTCGGTTTGGAGAGGAGAAAAACCTATGAATGTTAACACACCGTATCTAGTAAGGAGGATWCTAGTAACGATACCGTTTGGTACTACGAATGCCACTACGAGTATGAGTACGGATACCGTTTTCACTTGAGCCGCAAAACCAAGAAAACACTTTCCTTTGCTGTTACGTACCAGTACGAGCACTCGTAGGCAGCCAAAACCAACAATCGTTTCTCGTCACGCCTCGTGTTCAACTCAAGAGCCTCTACGATTCAAACACAGCTGCACCCGCACAGTACTCTTATCTCTAGCAATACCAAACCAATCTCCAATCATGCCAGAAGTAAGTATGCGAATAGACCACTGTGTCAAGCCAAGATTATTAACATTGCCACTCCTTTCGAGCGTTTCTGCGTTCACCAAAATGAGCCGCTGAGTGCGGATGGAAAGCGTGGGAATKGTTGACCTGCAGTGCGACTTTGCGGTGCGAAATGGTACCCATCTGGTTCGAATTCCTTTAGTATTATTGGTTGGGATGAAATCATGTTTGGATCTATTGACCTATGCACACAGCCGAAAAAAATTGTCGTCGATCGTATCAACAGCTTAATTTTTTTGGTTTGTTCGTTTTTTTCTATGAATTTTCCCTCTGCTTACTACTAGATCGAAGAAATCGACGAGTCCGTCCCCGAGCTCGAGGAAATTGATGACGTCCCCCAGTTGGAGGAAGGAGCTGATCCCAATGCCGCAGCTGCTGCCGCCGCTGCCATGGCTGCCGCCATGCCTCCCCCGGTCCAAAACCGTAACGAGAAGAAGGCACGCAAGGCGATGCAAAAGCTTGGCATGAAGCCCGTCGGAGGAATCCTGAGGGTGACCGTAAAGAAGTCGAAGAACGTCCTCTTTGCCATCAACAAGCCCGACGTCTACAAGTCGACCACGGCCGATACATACGTTATCTTTGGGGAAGCCAAATCGGAAGACTCTGGTGCCGCCGCACGCCAACAAGCTGCCGCCGGTCAATTCAACGCCCCCCAGGAAGCCGCCCCCCCTGCSATGCCCGAGATGGAAGAGACCGCCGCTGAGACCGCCGCCGACGAGGAGGCTGTTGACGAAACGGGATTGGACTCCAAGGATATCGAATTGGTCATGTCCCAAGCTGGATGCAACCGTGCCAAGGCAGCTAAGGCTCTCAAGGAGAATGATGGWGATTTGGTAAACAGTATCATGAGTTTGACGAAATAATTATGATAKTTGGATGATTGATTCTACTATCAACTGATGAATCGTATACAAATGAATTATAGTTTACGTTCTGGGATTATACTGCACATTGCTGGATTAAAGTTCATTAGATGTTGGTCTCATGACTGCTCCACAGTCATGGTTCTATGTTTGTGTCGATCGAAGATACTTCATCGTCCCGAAGGCTGTCGCTTCCGGCAATAGAATTGTTTTTAATCATCGTATCGCGTCGATGCWTCATCTTGGCATCGAGGTCTAAGAACATTTGGTTGCAATTCGATATGAGCGCTGCAGAAGCCTTCTTGTTACTTTCGGTACCGCAACCCGCGTCGTAATACAATTCGTGCCTCTGGATGCTGCTACTGTCGCGGCCTTCCTTTCCAATCGTATGACGGGCAATGCTCTTGCTGCCCGGGGAGGTTTCGTTCTCAACGCGACGATACAATGCCTTGACACTTGTTGGTCCGCCACCGCCGTTTTCGAGGTCGTCAGTTGCGCGGAAGTAATCCGTCTCTCCAGTCACCGTTGAATTAAGATCAATTCTGTTTCCATTGCCGACYAAGACTGATGAGGGGTAGCTTCTGCTTTCTAAGCTGTTGTTTGGTTGCGTGCTGGTGTTATTGGTATTATTTTCTGCCGAAGCACTCCGGTCGCCWTTTTTGACGTGTTGGTCGTTTTTGTTGCCAGTGTTGACGGTTTCTGCATTGCCACTTATTGCTTGGTGTTTGTCTTCGTCGTCGACTAAACCCAAGAGAGCCAAGATCCAGCTGGTCAAAAACAAAGCGGAAGCAATCAGGTTGACCAGAGCTCCCACGAGCCAGGGACAATTCCAGTAGTAAGTTTTATGAGCGAAGCTGCACCATGACAGCGATGCGATTATGGAGGCCGTTTGGATTCCTGTTGTTAGCAGCAACAAGGTGCAACCCCAGAATCGTTTTGGATTGCCGAGCGAGATCAGGCACAACGAAACAAAAGCTAATATTGGTCCAAGCACAACACACAATTGAGCGGTGAATTCCCATGGATGATCGGTTCCAACCCAAAATCCTGGGTATGAGATGCATTGACCGTTGTCACCATCCCCATTGGAATCGCGGTAGAAGTMTCTTGCTGCTCCCGCTGCTGCTACTACTCTCGTTGACGATCTGTTCGAATCAAAAWAATCATTTTCTTCGTCGAATGTTCTTATTCTCTCCATTCTTCGATACCGAAATATACCGATGCTCACGATTGAATCCGTGTTTATTTCAGAGAAATCCCAATCCCCATTGGTGCCATAATCGATTGTATTCTCTGCATTATATTCATTATCAAAGGAATAGGCGCTGCCTTGTAAAACGACGTACCATCGACACGAACGAATGGCAAAAACTGCACAAGTGATACCGAGTCCTAAGCAAAGAGAAATCAGCGCTTTGAAATAAACATAACGTCGTTCTTTTTTAAACGAGATTGTCATAGTTAGATATTATTGATTTTGTCTCGGACGTTCAAGAATGAGATCAAAATTCATCTTGTTATTCCAAGCCATCTATTGTTGTTTCGAGAATAGTGCCAAAACCGAGATTGAAGGCTCCTCTCCTTTTCATAAACGGCGAAAACGAACGTCCTTGCTAGATTACTGTTTCTTGAGACTAAAGTTTGTTCTTCAAACCATGACTTTTTCCTTTTTGGTTCAGTTGTGATRATGCAACAGAAATATCATGCTCATCGTATTATTTCCACAAAGGAAAAAATTAAACCAGGACACGGATTTGTGAGTAAAGGTTTTTGGGTTTTCCAATTCATTGAACTCGGGACTTAAATGAGTTTCAGAAAGTACGAGTACCGTTGACAGTAGTAGTACTTTTGCGTACAAGATCTTACGCGAGTCGTTTTTTTTWAATAATGATAGTTCTATCGATTTCAAATAGGTTATGAGTAAAACCAAAACATCAAATGTTTACGTACGAAACTCGTGCTGTGGMTGAATTTTCACATTGCGGCTCATCGCCCAACTAAAGGATTCTAAAGAATTCAAGACAGAGGAGGCATCCTAATATCCAGAACAAGAAGAAAAAACCAATAAACCAACCATGTCTATATTAGAATGAAACGAGAAGCGAGAAAAACTAAATGCGATCAGCAACTCTAAAACTTGTTCCTCGTCCAATCTGAAAGCTTGCTACCCGACTTCGATCCCGTCAACGGAGCACCTTGTTCTCAGCTGTAGAAAAGTGAACAAAATGGTCCTGTATATCGTTGTGGGTAACTTTTGACACATTTATTATTTGTTTACCTAATGTACAGTATCGTAGTCATGGACATAAATGATGCCCCCAACGCGTCGCATCCCATCACAATTGCATTTTCTGTTCGAAAGTTTGATGTTTGCTTGGTTGCGAGTAACGAGACGAAACACACAATACGGAGCTTTTTTGGGTTTCACTTTTGGAATGGAATGGAATGGAAAGAAATCACAAGCCGCAAGCCTTTCCCCATGATACATCATGTACGAAGCACTTCTGCCTCACAAAGAGGCAGGGCAAACRTGAGGTTCAACGAGACAACCTTCTTTGCCTCACACTCTTCCTACCTCGAGCGGTTTTGTTATCTCGAGAGGATGAGGGAAAAAATTAAAAACGCGACAAGATGTTGTTTATGGCTTGTTTGGCAAATGCCAGAAGTCGAGTTCTCCTGTTATCGCGAAAACCAGAACACATCACGCTCGATTTTACACACGGCGAGAAAATTGGACATGCACCCCCGCATAATTTTCTGAATGCCGTTGTGCGTCCAATGCGTTGTATGGAAAGATCCAATAGCCATGGACATGTGTCTTCGTAGCTCCGGTACAATGAGAGCAATGATCAGATTCGTTGGATTGCGTTGCATTCGTGTTTGTTCCGAGAGTACGAACGCTTTTTCGCTCGTGCGGGAAGCTATAGAGAGTATCGCAGAAGCATGACCATAAAAGGATGTGTTTGCGTGTGTTTTTATAGAATGCTCTGCCACACTACTAGCTATCACGACGCCCCAGCCCCTGTGCATCAATCAACGCCCAACTCCAACCATTTCAAGGTGTGCTGAAAATTGTACACCCGCACTCAGTACTGCCTCGTTGCAGGGGTGGTTGAAAACCGCGAGGAATCAGTAGAACTGGAGAGCGGCTTCACGTCCGGAACGACGTCCTGCATTTCTTCGTCCCTGCGGTTGTGTATTTGTTTTTTAATTTGCTTTTTGTTACTTCCAGGCGGGAGCTGTTGGTTCTGGGTGTCGTCGTTGCTTTTAGTTTTTATTGGCTCATTTATCATTCGCGACGAAGATTGCTTTGTAGAAGTGGTGTTGGTGTTGGCAGTGCTGGAAGCTGGCGGTTGTGTTGTCGTTTTTTGGCTTGTAGCTCGGCTGCTTCGACCAGTTTTGAGTTGCTGAGAGCCGGGTGCCTGCTGTTGCCGTTCTTGTTGATGAAGCTGCTGTCTATTGCTGTTGCTGCTTAATCCGACATCTCCTTCCACAGGACGGTGCTGTTCTCGTCCCTGGTTTTGCTGTTGAAAATGTTGCTGCTGCTGCAAAATTTGCATCATACGCACACTCGAATGCGAGTCCGTGGCCATAATGGTGCGGATTTCATCCTTCGCTTGGCCTAGTTTGAATTCATTGAAGAGTTCCATTGGTGGCGTTGACTCCTGGATGTGCGCATATTTGGAATCGAAATACAACGTGGACGTAATGGTATCCTCGCCGTTCGTGTTGAGGGTTGCCGTATCAGAGCAATCCACGCTTTTTAGGTCCTGTTCCTCTTGTTCTTCTTCAGTTCCCCGAACCGGAGTCGCAAAGCAAAGGGCCAGCGAGGGATTTAGCAGCCTGGAGAAATCCGTTGCAGGTCCTCCCTTTGTACTACTGCTGCTGCTCTTCCTGGAACTGTTTTGGGGCTTTTGCCCGTTGCTCATTCCGTTTTTGTGGCGGAATATTTCCTCACGAGTTTGGGAGGATCGTTTCCGCTTGATCCGGTACCTCGGTGGATTGGCCGCTTGCTTGGCCTGAGCAAGAGCTTGAGCAGTCTCGTTGTCAATGTCGCTATTGTTCTTGCTGCTGCTGTTGCCACCGCTCCGGTTCTTGTTGCCTCCGCTCCCGTCAGGCCTCGGCGGTTGCCCATACGAGGAACGGCTTTGCGCACCGCTAGCGGTCTGCTTGTGYGTCGACTTTTTTCTACCACTACTAGCGTTTTGTGCCTTTTCGAATAGCTCGTCATATTGTTTGTCGTTAAGCTTCAATTGATTCGTTCGTCTCTTGCCGTCGTGAGAAGAAACTTGCGAGTTGACCTGCGTTATTTTACGGTCTTTGTTATTCTTGCTACCACTCGTTTTGTCATTGCTTCCCTCTGATATTTCCAGTGGTTCCCCCGCTAGTCCTCCACCCCGGCTGGTAGGAGTGTGCCCGAAACACCGGCACACATTTTCGAACAAGCTCTGAAATTGGGCATTCATTCTTTCTTTTTTTGTGTTGTGTTGCGTTGCGATGGGCCAAGCCGAGCAAGGCTGCTTCTCCTCTTACTGTTTCCAGTTTTTATTCGCTAGAGAATGATGACAACGATGGCGATAATGATAAACACCAGTGAAATACTCCTAACGAGCAAAGCAGATAGATACGAAAACAGCGAGAATTCTCGGATGTTATGCCAATAGGGAACCGTCGTGCTTCGATGCAACAGCGAGCTAGTGTGCTACTTTTAATGGCTGAACTCCGCGTACCTCTTTGCTWGTGTTCAAAGAGATGTTGGTCTCACCAGACAGAGACTTTCTTTAGTGTATGAGCGTTTGATGATTGTCTTTCCAATTCGATCCATACAACTCATTTCATTTCAATTCAATTGGATGGTTAGTTGTTTGTACCGTTAAGAGTACGGGTAWTGTTTCGTTCAACATCAGCAAATACGGGTATCGAATTCGTCCTTTTACGGGGGTACGAGTACTTCTACTGCCACTATTACGAGTACTACGGAAGTAGCAMAACAAATTTCTTCTGCTAGCTACAGTAGCTGGTTGTAGTTCGTTCATTGTCCACGTACGTCTTACTGTAGTACGAATTCTTATGTACGTATATCGTTCTACTGTCTCTCCTTGCGTACTAATATGTACCTGACCATTMTGTACAATTTTTGTTACTCTTTCTCTTCTATGAAGTGAGGTGCTACGCTGGTACTGGTACGTCCTAAATTCAGAGCATTCGCACTACTGTACCTACGACAGGCTCGTTTTCTTCAGCATTCTCTTCGTGAGAATGATGTTGCCAATTTAAGTTCCGTTGCGTTGCGCAATGTGCACGTGCCACAGTATGTATCGCCATTCAATACATACGTTGCTAAACGTTCTTCAAAATTTTGTCCAGGCGCKYACTAACAAGATCGCGAGGTGCTCGAAAAACTAACCGCGTTTTTTTCACTATCTACGAAAGAGAAGGCCGCGCGAAATGCGTTTTTTTGAACGGCAGAGTACGAATGCTACGTTATTGTAGGTAGAAAATTGAAAAAGAACACGGGCATGAGCGGGTTGAAGAGTAGTCGATCGAGTCGGCTAATGGGTGATTCCGGTTCTTTTAAAATCTCTAAATTTGATAGGCTGACAGACCAATAATTTCTTAGAGCATGTGACTCCAAGCTCAACTAGTAATCCCAATCTGCCTAGGTAAGTGAAGTATGCAAGGCAGCCCCATTTCTTGATTGGTGAGAAAGCAAATATTGGTACCGGAGAGAGGGAGGACTGGCTGGCTTCATTAAGAGGAGTGAGGCTGCTGTGGAGGGTTTGGAGACCACGCCTGAAGCGTTGAGTGGTGCTGGAGGATCATTCCTTATTCTTGCAGGAGATGTACCATCAGCAAAGGAGAGGAGTTGTTGAGGCCATCTGTTGTACAATCCTCCTTGTCATCTACTCCTCCTAAGAAGAGATCATATGGGGGTGGGAAGAATTCCAGCAGTGTTCGTCCTCCTGATAGTACTAGCGCTCCTACTTTCAATGGTGAGTACTATCTGTGGAGCCAGCAGGAGGAGAGAGACAAAGGAAATCATGAGATTGCTAAGAGCATAGTCAAATTGCTAAAGAGACTACTAACCAGATGTGGAAGGATGCTTCAGGAATGCCGTTGGCTTATTTCCAGCRATGGCAAAGTTCCCAGCAGAGCAATGCTTACCGCCATCAATCCACYGGCAATATCAAACAGCCTCGCAAGGAGGGGAAATCCCATGGTGAAAACTAAACTGACAATTCTATGATAGTACAGAACTCATTCAAATCAATGAACTGAATTAAGCAGTATGATCCTATCATTAGCACACGGAACAATATGCTGTTGCAGTAGTACTAGGTGTTAGTAGTGCTCCCATCCTCTCTATTTAGTGCGTGCACAATCCCACAAAGGGGAGATGCCTCAGCATGCACATGTAGCTTTGAATGGTTTCCCTCTGCATRCACATGTAGTATGTTATTGATTTGTCTTCATTACAGTGCAGTTGTCCTGATTTCATTGACTTTTCTTCATTTACATATAACTGGTTATCTAAAATTGCATTGGGGTATTCACAAAAACTGCAGTTTCCTCCACTACTTGCTTCCCCTTCTTGCTCCCTGCTGCTCATAACTTCTAGTACACAACTTACACAACAGCGCCACAATTAGATCTTTGCAAAACCCTAGTCCTCAAAGAAAACAACAACTGCTTTCTTGGACCATGAAGAATCCAACAAGCAATCCTGTGTTGAGTGATTTGATTGCCTTTGTTCAAATGAATCAATTGCTGTATCAATTGAATCAACCACCATATTGGATGCCAATCAATTGTCATATCAATTGCTGAGTGTTGATTGCAATTGTAACTAAAAAAATTTTTTTTTGCTACCCAAATGAACCAATCAACCATGGGAGTAACCCTCACCACAGGTGATTAAAACAAGCCATTTCCATTCTCTGCCTAGTGACAGCTCATGACCTACATAGAAATCCTTGCAGCAAGTCTTCCTTGACACAGGGAACTGTGTTGGCTGGCAGTGTCTTMATGAAGGTGAAAAGGATCTGGTTGTGTCCTAGCTATAGTGCTACATTGATAGTAGTTCTTGTACAAGTTAACCAACAAGTTCATGATGATCTTTCTGTCTCTAAGCTCATCCAAGAACATTCTTGGGAACTGTCCTTGAATCATCCTTGTGCCCAATYCAGACATCTGTCTGAAGGGTGTACTAGCGTCTCTATTCAAAAGAATGAGATTGCTGTCCTTCTCAGGATCCCTTGTCTGTGAGATTCTGATTCTACCATCTGGTGCAAAAACAAACACACTGTTGACAAAAGTGTTCTCCTTCCAGGCATTGCAGAATGCTCTCTGTTTATACCAGTCTTCAGAGGCTTCAATGGCATTCTTAAGTCATCATCAGCAGCCCAGACTTGATGTTCTCCAAGCCTTGGATACTTCTTTGCAATTGCTTCAACATAACCATCCACTTCTTGCTCAGTTGGAACACTGATCATGGCGTTTGGGTGTTTGTGAAGAGCAACAAGCATCACTCTCCTTGAAAACTTGAGCCACTTGTACATAAATGTGGATGTCAAGCCAAAAGCCATGGTGGCCACTGGCCTTGCAACAGATCCTCTTGCCCTGTACCAATAGAGGACTAGTAGTCCAAYAGCATAGACAGCATCAACCTCCCTCTTCTTCCCCTTGGGCTTGCCACCGGGATAACAAGGAACTTCTACAATCTCAGTTCACAGAATGCATTTTCATTCCATTCTTGATGGATCAATTGTTTCTTCTGCAGTAAAATGCAATGGAAATAATCCACGTATCAAAGCCACAATGCAACAAATTACTGTTGCGTAGTTAACCTATTCTATCGAGAAACATCTCGATTTTGCTGTGTTCTGTGGGTGTGAGAAAGCAGCTCAATTGTCTCGTGCAGAAAACCATGGGACGGCGACAGACTTTTGTAGGAAAGCAGGGAAAAAGAAWTATGGTAGTGGAGCCTTTTTGGCATCGTGTCAACCTACGATAGGAAGGAAATAATTAATTGTGGAAGTRTGCTCTGTCGATAACAGCAAACTCGCTACTATTTGGTATTCGTTTGTCTGTGATACTCTCTCTGCTATCACTGTCTACTTTCCGTTTGTGGTGCTAAGTGATGTTGTTTCGCTATTCACTTCGAGATCCATTATAAGTGGTTTCGTCAATTATTTTTGTACATTTAAATTTCTTATTACTTTTCACACAATTTTATTCGTTGTATAGGGATAGGTGTGGAATCAGATGAATCGAATCAGATAATATTCCTCGTCATACGTATGCTCTCGCCACTTCCAAGATAGATGTAGAGTCTTTCATTTTTRCTCAGTGGTTGCAGGTGCAGAGTATCCTTTGTCACCCAATTCTTGAACGGTTCCTTCGCTTCCCTTGACTTCTTCGTCCGCTGCAATGGACTTTCGGATCCAAAAGACAAGAACGAAGATAAGACCATGGAGAAGATACCAAAAGTTGGTAAGGAAGATCAAGACAGACATTTGACCATAAAATCCAGTTCTCTTGACTTGTTGTCCTTCGGTGACAATAGATCCGTCGGCCATCATCCACATGGTGAGAAAAGCAAAGTTTGACCAAACCAATAGGCTGACGATCAAACCGGTGGGGTTGCGCTTTTGAGAAATGACTAGTAGACCATAGTATCCGAGTGCAAGGAAAAGGACGATTTGCCAAACGTAAACGAACTTGAGTGATCCGGGTTGCTCAAGATTGTCTTCCAAATCACGACGTTGCTCTTCGGTCAAGGAAAAGCCACTGTACCAAGCGGGCATCCATTCCTGGTCTGCCATGGGCTCTCCATCTCGGTTGACAAAGAAGGAAAAGCAGTTCAGTTTCCACCAGCTGCATCGGTTGACGTCGACGTATTCGTTTTGGGCGTAGTTGTCAGCCATGTATGCTCCACCATATTTGTAGCTGTTGCCGTATTGCTCGTAGTTCTGCTTGCGCTGCTCTGCGTAAGTTTGGTATTCTTCTTCCCAAAAGTAATTCATGTATTCTTGTCGATATTTGTTCTTGTGAATTGTACGATAGATCAATGGAACCAAAACAGTTACAATACTCGATACGATCCAAGCAAGGGCTAGCAATCCGCTGCCTCCAGAGTGGTTTTGGTCATACTTCTGCATAGGTACCACCAATCCACGCACGCTTCTTTGAAACTTAGTTTTAGGGGCAGAAAAGCTGCCGTTTTCGAAGGGATCCATGGTGAAAGAAATAGTAAMTTAAGCAATGTTATGCTTTCTTCGAAGTTTGTGCAAGGTAGTGGTGTTCCTTGGTTCAAATTTTATGAATTAGAACAATTCTTTTCGAGATGAAATCCGGATTTCAACGTCGTCKAGTATTTTATCTAAATAATAATTGATATAAAATCAACCGACGTATCGAGTGCGTTCGTTCGTTAGATTTTCTGTACTTAGGYAGAATCTTTTTGGCGACACGTGGCATCGGCTCGCTTTTTTGGATATTGACGAGCCGGTTGATTTGAATTTAGTCACAAAATAGTAATAATACAATATTCTTCGGTCTTCGAACAACAGCTTCAGAATAACGAAAAGAGAACAGATATTTCAATTCTTTTCGAAGAATATTTCGGGTCATGGGGTGCTGGTTATTTACGTTTACGCGCCTCTATTTGACGACACCTTAATACATAGCAAATACCATGATTTTCTTCTAGAGAAAGTGGCAGTCACCTAAAGAGAAAACTTTATGGTTTACACATGAAGTACACTCTTCACGGCTCATATTTACGCGAATATTTTCGTCCCTGAGCCCGGACGTGTTCAACACTCTTTTCGCCACTAGCACTAGTAACTCGTACTGTAGTAGATGATGGAGAGCAATATCAGATATCAACGATATTTAAATAATGTAGGATGTTACTGGTTATCACAAGTCGCCTCGAAGGAACAACAATAAAAATATTCCGTCACCTCAGACCAAAATAGGCTTGCGTGCTGGGGTGGTTGGGGGAGAGTCGCCACCTAAAGCTTTGTAGTTTTCGGCGCTAGCTTCAACTTGTTTCTCCTGTGGCGCTTCCTGATGCATATTATGTCCACGAATGGCGAAAAGTGCTCCAAAGATGATTCCAAAGAGGACATACCATGCATTGGTGATAAACATCAACACCGCGAATTGACCGTAGAATCCAGTTTGTTGGATGAATTCTCCGTCAGTAATAATTGATCCATCAGCAAGCATCCACATACCTAAGAAGCACATGTTTGCAAAGACGACAAGTGCAAAGGTAACACCAGTTACAACACGATTCTGTTTGATAACAATGTATCCGTAGGCGAGGATGACAGCGAACATAAAAATTTGCCAGACGTAGGTAAACTTCAAGGCGCTTGAAGTTTCTCCATCCTCAATCATCTGTTCGCGAGCCTCTTCGGAGACGGTCCATCCACTGAACCATGCCGGGTACCAACCTGCCATTGGTTCGGGCTCGCCATTTTCATTAATGTAGTACGGAAAACAGTTGAATTGGTACCACTTGCATTGGTTGACATCATAATTTCCGCGCATTTGTTCCCATTGGTAACGATAGTTACCTTCGCCGTATTGGTTCATGTACTGGTTCTCGTACATATTTTCGTAGTATTGTTGTTGCTGCTCCTGGTACTGCTGTTGTGCCTCTTCCCAGTTGTACATGTAGTACATGTTTTGGTAGTTGTTCATCTTCATCGTACGGTAAACGAGCGGGACAAGCACGGTCAGTGCACCACTGACTAACCACAACAGAGCAAACATCGTGTTTGCCCCAGGGGAAGGAGGGTTTGTTACGACTGGAGCGGACATACTAATGATCTTCTTCCGAAATTACTTTTGATTAATCGCTCTGTTTCAAAGACGTATTCAATGAAACAATTCGTTTCCATAATTTATGACTGTAACGAAGAACATGTGATGATGATGTTCTGCGATTGAAGATGTTCGGGACACTCCATATCACAAACCTATGAACAAAGAAGACGGCGTTGACCTTGGAATGTTCGACGCGTTGAACCGAAACTTGTCCGCTAGATTCTCGGTATGCATATAAATAATTTCGAACGCCATGTGCCAGGCGATGTCGTTGCTTTGGCGAGCTGCTCACAAAATACGTTGCAGGCGTTGAGATAAGATATCTGAAGTCGGAATTCACGTCGGGTTTTGCGATGAAGAAGCCGGCAGCTCGCGAGTCGAGCACGTGCCTCTAATATCTATAAATTTTTTTATTATAGCCTCCGCATGCCATGTGAATCGGACCCTGGTTAAAATCTCACTATTTCTGGGATACATGAAAAGTTATTTTAATATTCTACTGCTGCTACACAGTACTGCACTAGACTAATTCTACGGCATACTGAGTTGACACCTATTTTAAATTAARAAGTGTATTCCATAAGATTTTTGTGCTGTACGGTACGGTATGTAAGATTTTGCGTACAGTGAGCATTAAAATACGGTGCGTCGTGCCGATGCCATGACTTGAATTGGTATGCGAAATCCAATTCGTACTCCAATGACATTCCCGAAAATGGGTCATYCCCGATAATCTAGATGGTCTACTTTTTGATAGACAGACAGACCAAAAATAGACCATCTAGTCGGAATTTTTAGACTTTCTGTCAACACACAATTCACCCTTGACAGAGGATCTAAATCTAGTCCCAAATTCAATAATGAAAATCTAATCTAAGAATGAGAATCTTACTGCACCTTGTGCTCAAAAAGCACCAGGCTCCCTTTTTCTTCAGGCTTGTTGAATGGATTCCAAATTCCCTTTCGACTACTACTAGTAGTACTAGTACTAGAAAAAGAACAATGTCTTGGAGACCCTGTTTTTAATGATTCCTGTTGAACTAAAAAGTCTTAAGTAGACCATTTAGACTTATAGACCATCTAGAATAATGGGAATGACCCAATACAGCATGAGCATGCTAGTAGTAGTAGTAGCAGTTGCGTGAAACAACAAGATTTGGGTTCCTCCTCTGTTGCTGGGTTTATGGGATTCATTGAAACAACTTGTAGAAAGAAGAAGCCATCAACAAAATAAGAATAAAAGCAAGAAAAGAAGACCCCACCACCAGCAGGGAGAAGAAGTGAGGAGATGTTGGTGGGTGAGGACAAAAGATACAGAGAAGGAGAAGATGAAGTGGCAGAAGCATAGAGGAGGGAACAAACAGCATACTTTCTTGCCTCCACCAGGAGTAGTAGTAGCGCCAGCCTTGTCAGAATCAGATTGTTAAGTAAAGCCTGATGGTTGGACTCCAATCATTACTTCCAGTGAAGTACTAGTACTAGTACAAGTTGAACAGAACTACTAGTAGTAGTCATATGACTAGTACRTAGTAGTAGTAGTATGACAATATTTTTGAGGGCCAGCCTTCATCTGGTGTGACGCAGTTTTACATAGTAAGAACTTGATGTAATCAGGAATGCTCCTCACCTCCACCATGCTGCTACTATTAGTCCTAGTAGTCAGAAAATTTATCTGATGTTCACCAAAAATTCAAAATGATCAGTTTTACCATGCATCTGAAGGATTGAGTCAATCCCGAAAACACTGAAATATCCGGCTCTTTTATGTACCTCAAATACACAGATTCTGGTTGCAGTGAGCCAACAGTGACCAGGATCTTTGTATGGAAACATATTTTTATTGGAATCCTTGACTGAACATATTCAGTCTGGTCAGCGGGCACACACTATTAAAGACAGGAGTCACTTGGCATCAACAAACTGGTGAAAATTTTGATCCTCCTTCTTTACTCAAAGAAAAAGCATATCTTTGCTTCCCCTCAACAAGAACAGAACACATTCAACAAAGACAACAAAAACCAAACAATGCATCACTGAAGAAGAGGGGTATGCTAACCATGGGGCTGGTGCGTGCAGCCCTGTAGTTAATAGTAACACAACCATCCAGATTCTTCTGTTAGCTTGCTACTAAGAGAGGGAAGGAGTGCCAGAGCTCTCGCCTTGAGAGGGAAGACAGCGAGGAAGACCACAAGATCCCATATGTGATACACATAGTACCCTCTGCTCATGAAAAGAAAAGAAAAGAAAAGAAAAGAAAAGAAAAGAAAAGAAAAGATGGACCATGGCTCCAGCTTCACCAGCAGGGGGTGCTCCAGCTCCAGTAGTGGCTCCGGCTCCAGCTCCAGATGCAGCTGCAAAGCTGACTGCTCAAGAAAGAGGAGGAAGGTCTCGGGGTTCTGCTAACTACACCCTTAGGGAGACCATGTACATGCTTAAGACCTTGAGGAAGTTTCTTCCTATTGAACCAGAACAAAGGATGAAAGTAGTCCATACCCATGAAGAGAACTAGAATACTGTAAAAGACAAGGAATCCATCACCAGGGCGTATGCCTCCCTCCACAGGAAAGATATTCCTACTGGGAATCCAAACATAACTCTGGCAATTCAGCTTGCAAAGGAGATCAAGCTATTGATTGGTGGGAAGGCTGCCATCAGAGATGGAGAAAAGGAGTTTGATCTGGAAGAAGGATACAAGATTAGTGAAGATTACACTACTTTAGTACTAGGAGATACCAATGAAAAGATCAACAACGTAAACATTGACAACAAGGAGAACATTAAAACAAGTCCTCCTCCTCTTCAACAGCCTTCACAACTTACTCATGAAATGCTGCCAACAACAACTCAGCTCACTCCCACCAACTCAGATGGCTGGAACTCAGATGGTGCACCTTGCTCAACTTACTGCTCCAACTCAAGCAACAACCCAATTGACTCAACAATCCATGATTGTTTCTGTTCCTCTAAGCACACCTCAATCCACAATTGTTTTTGTTCCTCTAAGCACACATCACCCTCCCCTCAAGAGAGTGTACTCRAAAGCATCCTGCTCCAGTATCAGCAGCACCAACAAAAATTTTACATATATCATGTTCAAAATGTCCATGAAGCATCAGGAATTGCTTACAAATGAGAAACAAGCCTTACAAGAAGTGTTGATGCAAGAGTCAAAAGCTTACCAAAAAGCATCAATGCAAAGGTGTCAGCATACCTTGACAGAAATCAAAGATATGGTCTGCTCCCTTGCCAGTGCATATCTCACTGCTGCTTGTTGTTGCAAGAACAACAACAACAAGAAGAAGAAGAAAAGAAAGAACAAGGACTCTTTCTCCTCCTACTACTCCTAYTACTCCTACTCCTACTCCAAGGAGGAGGAGGACGACAACCTTTTGGTCTACCAGTCTACTAGTCCCATGGTTATCTACTACTAATCACAATTACTAAACTTAACTAGTACTGATTGATGTTTGCTTTCCTCCTACTGTTTGCTGTTTGCTCCATTTGTGACAATTTATGAGTACTACTGGAWAATTTTCTGTTATTCTAAGAAACCTACGCAATACTTTGTGTTATTCTAGACTGTGCTGTTGCTCCCCTTTTTAAATAAAGAATGCCAGCATTTGCATGGGATTTCTTCCATGTGCCTTCATATCCAATATATATGGCTGTGGTGGGATTGTTTCCATGTGCAAGAATACATTGCCTCTCTGTTACAAGTCCCAGTTTTTTGTGCGAAGGTACGCACAAAAACGGGCAACAGAAAATTAGACAGTTATAGTGAAGAAGGAACTCAAATAACAAGGTGTATCACGTGGGTCTCTTTTTTAGGATGCTTCTTTAGCTCATCCTTCACTCTTCATAATATTAACTGGAGTAACTGGATCAAGTATATTGCTCTAAATGTACCTAGCTAGTAGTACTAATCAATACTGTTAATCATCTACTTTGAAGTATTAAAGAACTAAACAACAATCAATGCAACCATCCGACAACCATGCTGGTGGGAATCAATTGACAAACAAGAAATCAWCTAACAACACAACAATCAACAATCAACTAATCAATCCATCAAGAACTGGAATTCCCCATTAGTGTCCACAGCAGGGGCCCCTGTATATAAGAAGCATCCTATCTGCTGAGTCGCATAGGATTGCCTTAGTAGTGCTTGAAAGGATTCAAATCCACTGGTACCGCTCATGAGGTGTTGAGGATCTGGTTGATGCCCACCTTGCTGCATTGATAATTATACAACAACAACACCAATAGGTTAAGAATGATCTTCCTATCCCTGAGCTCTTCCAGTGTAAGGCTTTCTTTCATTCTTGGGAATTGCCCTTGAATCATCCTCATGCCTCATTCAGATAATTGGCAGACCACCGTTGCTTCCCTGTTAATTACATACTAGCCTCGGTGTTCTCTTCCATGGTGTTGAATGTATCAGGGTCATTTTGTTGGCTTCAAATGAGATATTCAGCTCCTTTGACCTTAAATGCAGAATCGACCACAACCCTTGCACCAATCCTGTTAYATACTATGTCTTCCATCTTGTCATATATCATGCTGTGATCTGCCATAGTGCTGTCATACCAAGTCCCAGGGCAGTTATATGTGGTCGTAAAGACAAGAATACTATAAATGTAAGGATCACAGACCCATGAGTTTAAGTACATGCTCTGAATGGCCAAATTGGTGGAATACTCAATCTTAACCTTTAGGCCCTCAGGACGTACTTTCTTCCAATTGCTACCACATATGCCTCCACTCCTTCTTCATMACAAGGGGCTCTGATGGTTGCATTTGGGTGATTTTGCAACGCAAAAAGAAGGAACCGTGTGGAAAATTTCAACCATCTAGTATAGAGGGCAGTGGAGGTGATTCCAAACACAATAGACAAGGCCCTAGCTGCTGATCCACGCCGTGTCCTGTACCAAGTCAAGACCAAAGCAAGTCCAATAATGCCAGTGACATCCCTCGGTTTGCCCTTGGGTTTGCCTGTCTTAGTGAAGAGGTGAGGTCCAATTTGCTCATTTTATCTATCCACAGCGGATCTAAGGTCGACACCACAGCAATATAGAAGAGCCTGATCATCACCAGAAYCAAACAMATGGATGAAGGGGGATTCSTTGACACTCAAAAGTGAAATCTTTGGCATCCTTCTGTCTTGTTGAGGCCTGTCCTCATGGGAGAGTTGATGACGAGTCTCCTCCTCCCATTCTTGTTGTCAAAGGCAACAAGCTGCACATGCAATTGAAACCAACTCAGGGGACATTGTGGTGTTGTTTGCTGTGAGGGAGGAATCAATAGGCAAATAGTGGGGATGGAGACTAGTCCAGAGACTGTTTCAGAGGCYATTTCAGAGGAATCAAGAGGAGGACAAGTGTGAGGAGATGCTTCTTTCAATAATAGTTTTTAGCCATGGTGGCTGATTTCGTGAAAATCCCAATCATGTTGGCGCCACTGGAATCTTGTGATATTAGCTCACAATTATGCATGATTCCAAATTCCAAAAATGGGAGGAAGAAAATATGTAATTTCAGCAAACCTGCCTTGCCTTTAGTACCAC